CATGCCACACAGCAGGGACCGTCGAGTGCTGCACAGGAAGATGAAGGGCCTCCCCTTGACACTCAGTCACGGGGAGACTGGCCACATAAACCCGTCAGCCAGCAACCACACGCTCCCTGCATTCCCGGGGAAGCCAGGAGTCCTCCCCGGGGGCCTGCTCTCATGCCTCTGGCTCCCTCTCCTGGGCCTGGAGATGGGCAGGAGGACAGACCCACTGAAAGTGACTGTCCATGGCAGCCCTCCCATGGAGACTCAGCAGCTACTCAGGGATCATTTCAAGTTGCAGGGACTTTCTAAAGAGGACTCTGAGCAAGAGGACTGGTTCTGCAGAGCAGCAAGTCTGTCCTCCCTGGGGCTGGAAAGGAGTGGCCAGCAGGGGAGCCCGAGTGTGGATCAGAATGGTCAGCTGTGGAGGGCCAGTGGGTTGGAACGAGCGTGCGCATGCTCAGGTTGACTGCGTGCGTCCACGTGGGTGTTTGCGTGTGTCCACATGGGTGTTTGCGTGCGCCCACCAAGGATGCGTCTGGTCCTTGCTTGTGTGAATACAAACATCTCTGAGGACCGGCCATCGCCAAGGAGCTGCTGTCACTCGATGTTTGGGTCCACGACGCTGAAATGTCTGTGCAGGTGGGAAGCTCAGGTTAGTGTACCTCTGGGAGCCAGGACTTAACCAGCGTGGAGGCAAAGACCACCTCCTTCACTCCATCTCCCCCAAAGAGAGCTGAGGTGCCCCAGAGAAGGGCAGGGTTGGAAAAGCTCTAAAACAAAATGTTTCCAAACTGAGTTTTAACGTGTAGCCGTGACAGTGTCATTAACCCAAACTCTGGGACCACGCTGGAGTCCTTGTGCTGAACACCCAGTCACTCGGTATGCAGCACGGACGGCTCATTTCCGTGTCACTTAGACCGACTCCCATGCGTCACTATGACAACACCCCTTCCTCTCGCCTCTGCTTAAATATAGTTTAATACTTAAGTCTCATTTAATTGCTTCCTTTATTAAGGGCAGATACTTAGAAAATAGCTTTTTAAAAGGCAAAAGCCAAGTCTTTAAGTAAAATTGTCTCTTTCCCGAAGATGGATGTGCATCAATACAAAGAATGGTCTAATCTGGCATCTGTTTATTGCTAGAAAGAACCTTGATTTTGCTAATACATTTCTATGCACCAGAACTAAAAAAAAAAAAAAAAAAAAAAAGCCATCCATAAAAAGACAATTACAGAGATGCAATCAAGCACTGATGGCCATGTGCAGACATATCTCAGAGAGCATGCAGGAGAGGAGGGCTTGCAGGTTCAGTTTTATATAGCTTCTTATAAATCAATTTTTAAAGTAATTTCCTCACATCCAATGAGGTAAATTTGATTTCTGTAGTCAGTATTCATGTTCCAGAAAACAATATGCACTTTGTTCCATAATTACACGATGCCTATTATTTCAGCCTAGAGACATTATTTTATTACAGAGCCAGGTTCTTCCCAGAGCCCAAATCACGGCCTGGTAATGAGTGAGGTGCTTGAAGCGGAGCCCCATGCACCCAGCAGCCCCGCGTGTCCTTGGAGAGCAGACACACACCCCTCGGCGCTGACTGAGCACCCACATCTGCCTCCGCTCCGGGAGCAGCGAGGAGAAGCGGACAGAGAGGTTACAGGGCTTCGTTAGCGGCTCGCCAGGAATCACCGTGGAGTCCAGGATGGGCTCACGTACATCCCGTCTCTGCCTCCTGCTCTGAGTCGAGCCTTCTCTCCAGTCAGTATCAGTGAGCCCTGGCCTGAGGGATGCGTGGAGGAGACAGGGCGGGAGGCAGGGGCGAGATGGAGCCCAGTTCTCAGCCTTTCCACCCCACCACCTCGTTTTGACCCATGTACTGGCGATATTTGGGTGGATGGATGGGAGGTGGGCTCCTTGGTAGTCAAACCCAAGGAGCCAGAAGGCAGTCCCTGCAGGAATCCTAGCCCACGCTGCACAGTCCGCTCAGCGATGCCGGCCCTGCGCGAGGTGCTGGAGACACAGCTGCAGAGCCCCTGCCCGCCCTGTGGAGCTCACATTCCCGCGGGGGATTGGGGAGGGGCACAGACTGCAGACCAGGCAAATTCGAACAACAGTGTAAACGTAACAAGTGCCAATAGAGAAATACGGCAGGAAGGAAGACAGGGGCCTGGGAGGGGGTGCAGAAAGGGTGGCAGGTAACATTTGAGCAGACCTGAAGGCAGGAGCAGGCCAGGCTGATGGGCTGCTTTTGGGAAAGAGGGCGCAGCAAGTAGGAAGCTCCTGAGGAGACAGGATGCCCGGCATGTTAGAGGCATGTTAGAGCAACAGCGAGGGCCCCTGCTGGAGTGGAGTGAGCAAGGAGAGGGGAAGGAGTTGGGCTGGGAGAGGGACAGGCAGATCATCCCTGCAGGCCCTTAGCTGAGGCTCTGGGCTAGGAGGGCATGTGGCTGCTGCGTGGAGGTCCCTGCCTCCCCCCAGAGGGAGATGGTGCCTTGGCCCCGGGGTGGCAGCGGAGGTGGTGAGAGGAGGTCAGATTGTGCTGTGAAGGAGGCAGGACTGGGCCGTCATTCTGTTTTATGGCTTCTGGTGTGTGTGGGGGGGGTGTCTGAGGCTTAAACAGGGCGATATATGTCACATTTCCTGGCACAGAATTAGCTTTTAAAGACTGTGGCATCACCCTACATGATCTGTGGGAACCTCGTCCTGGGGTACTTCTCAGCTGGGGAATGCTGTGGTCCTGTGACCACACAACCCCCAGGGAGGTGACAACAAGCACAGGGGGCACCAAGGGCCCTCCTGTGAGGAAGGGCTGTGGGGTCGAAGGCTCAGGAGGACAGTGTGGAGGGAAAATGAATTCCAGGGCCCGGGCACTGGGGCCGCCTGTGGGAGGGAGGTGCCCTGGAACCACCAGCTGAGGTGCTGAGGGGCTCCCCGGGCGGGCGGCGCTGCACCCAGCTTCCCAGCCCACTTTCAAGACGCCATCCCACCACGGGGCGCCAGCAAAATATACTTTCCTCCAGATTTAGGTTTTGACACAGGCAATCGCTTAGACCAGAAATATGTCAGCCCCAGAACTGACTAACCATTAACTTTTCATAAGCAACTCAGGTATGAACCCTTTATGACTCTGTTATGACACAGGACAAATCAGCTCTCTGCTGTTTTATTTTTATTATTGAAGCTTCCGCGAAGGGATGGGAGTGGGGCTTTCTGAGGCAGAGCAAATGTTTCAGAGAAAGTCACAGGGTGCCAGCAGCCTCTCCGGTGTGCGCTCCACTGGGGCGCTGGGGGCATTATTCCCTGAAAGCTGGCTGCATGTCCACCACCCACCCTCCGCCTCCGCCCTCACGGGGCCTCTCTCTGAGCCCGAACCCCCTCGTTGGGCTAGTTCATTGGCCAGAAGCATCTTTAAAGGACTCGTGAGGGTTGTGGCCGGGCCCCCTGGAGGGGGAGCAAGACAGAGGGTCAGTGATTCGAGGAGCAGGGGCACGATAGGAACAGGACCGGGAGCTGCCGTGTGGCTGCCCTTGGACAGCCCTTGGCCCACTGCCTGTGGCCTGTCCTCCCTCCCGCCACAGGCTGCTTCTGTGGAAAGGCCGGGGAATGGCAGGAGGGACGGGTGGTGTTGGCTCCAGGGAGTCAATGGGGTTTTGCATCTTCTGTTAATAATGACAAGAGGAGTAACATCCCCACGTATGTCACAGTCCCCACAATGGAAAACGTATTCCCAGACACTTTCCCTCGTGAGGCAGGCAGGGTACAACTTACAGGTGCAGGCACCCGGGCCAGAGGGATGAGGGAACGTGCGGTCCATGGCAGAGTTCAAGCTAAAACCTGAGTCTCCGTGTCCCAGCGCCGGGCCCATCCCTTCACAACCGGCACAGCACGGCCCTGTTCCTAACCAGTGAGCCAAGCCCTCCTCAGTCTCGTCAGCTCTGAGAACCACACTTCAGAGATGTCTGGTAGCTAGAGCCAAACCTGATGAGGGGTCCCCCTGAAACGCCGGGTAACTCTGTCTCCCAGCCTGTCTGCAGTGGGGCTGGACAGGGCCAGCATTGGGCATGGTTCTGCTAGAGAACACGGCTAACAGAAAAGGCCCTGGGGGAGAGCTTTGGGCCCAAGCGCCCACAGGGGCCTCTGACCAGCCAACAGCCCCTCCCACCCACCCCTCCCCTGCACACTAGCCCAGTGGGAACCCACACTGTGAGCGGCAGGGTCACAGGGACAAGGCTTACTGAGCGGCATCCCATGGACCACACACACACACACACACATCAATCACACCCGCGTCAGCCCTCCTGCTCTCTTTATGCCCTGCCCTTTGTTGCTGCTTGCCCCATTCTCCTGAGAGTTTTATTTCTTTTCTCTGGGTTTTCCAGACCTCTGACAGCTGCCTGAAACTATTTTGGTATCAAGGTGGGATCTAAACCCGTGGTGAGCGAAGCCCAGCCCACAGGCCACATCTGCCCACTGCCTATTGATTTACATAAAATGTCATTGGAATATACGGCACTGCTTGATTTGTGTATCGTTCTGGCTGTTTTTGTGCCACAAGGCAGGGCTGAGTAGTTGACAGGAACTCTGTGGCCCACAGAGCCAAAACTTTCTTAAAGTCTGGCCCTTTAAGAAGAAGTTTGCCTACACTAAACACGGCGCCCTCCGAACAGGTGGGCAGGAGCCAGGAAACCCGCCAATAAACAGCAGGGCAGGTGAGCCCAGTGGAAACTGAGAGGGAGCTTGCTGGGGAAGGGTTCGAGCACGGCCTCCCCGAAAAGGTGAGCAAGGCCTTACGTGGATATACGGCTCTGGGCAAGCAACAGGGGACAGCGATGCAGGTCCTGCAGCCCGAGCCTGCGCAGCCCCGCAGGCGGCTCTGTGAGCAAGGGGCCGGGTGGGAAGGGAAGTCTCAAAGCTGCAGCATTCCATTTCCCGAGAACGGGGAGCCCTGCCCGTCCTTCCCGAGCCACTCGGTAGAGAGGCCAACCGCGCTGCCTTCCTCGCCCCGCGCAGGACTTCGGAGAGGACGACTCGCTCTACATCACCAAGGTGACCACCGTCCACATGGGCAACTACACCTGCCACGCCGCCGGCCACGAGGAGCTGTTCCAGACCCACGTCCTGCAGGTGAATGGTTAGTAATGGCTCCATGCATGTCGTCCCCTCAAAGCGTTCCCCAGATGCTGCTCAGAACAACCCTCCCTCTCCTGTGGTCTGTCTCCTTAAAGAAACATCTGACCCCAAACACCCCATCTCGCTCATTGGTAAAGGGGGGCAATGGGAAAAGGGCAACGTCCGCCCACTAATTTTGGTGTCTGGCTTCACCCCAAGCCCTCTCTGAGGAAACGAATCCTGGTGTGTCACCCTCGGCAGCTGAGGCCCTCCAGGTGACAGGGCAACGGCCACTGCTGTGTGTGGCCTTGGCTCCGGTGAGAAGCAGACGCTGTCTGAAATCCACCACCGCTTCAGGCAGTGTGGACCCTGTCGCTTATCCAACTGGGAGGCACTGTTTCATCAACAGGCTGGTTCCCACCTCCCTCCCTCAGAAGCTCAACCAGCCTCAGCTGGGGCCAAGCCCAGCCCGAACCTGGGCAGGCCTGGGAGGCTGTGCTCCCCCCCACACCCCACCCCTACCCTCTTCCCTGGCTGTGCTTGTCTGGACTCCTGGGACCGGAAGAAATAACCCCTTTCAGGGACAGCATCAAGTTACAGCAGCCATGTTTTCTGAGCACTTGCTCTGGCCAGTCCTGTGCTTACACGTCACCTGGACGCTCCCAGTTGGTGTATTTTAACCCACGTATGGATGAGTCTCTAGGTGAGGTCACTTGCCTGGGCCACACCATGGGCAGGTAATGTTCTAGACCCAGGGCCCGTGCTCCGACCCCAACCTGGTTACACCAGCCATCAGAACAGCAAGCCACTGTCTCCCCACAGTGCTGTGGGGATCAGCACCCTGGGGAAATCAGACCCAGCTGGGCATCATTCCTACCACCTAGCAGGCCTGAGCAGGAGTTTGTGGGTCAGGGAATAGTGGAATGGTATAGATTCTATACTATAGAACAATGGTTCTCAACCTTGGCTGTACATTAGAATCACCTGGGAATCTTTTTAAAATCCTGATTTCTGGGCCTCATCCTCCCAAAATTCTGTTTCTTTGCCATGGGATGGGGCCACAACATTAGTAACAAAGAAACAGAATTTCCAGAGGATGAGGCCCAGAAATCAGGATTTTAAAAAGATCCCCAGGTGATTCTAATGTGCAGCCAAGGTTGAGAACCACTGGTATAGAAGCTCAAGCCAGCCCCACATCCTTTGAGCCAGCTGGTGTTCAGGGCTTCTGCTCTGAGATAAAGTGAGCAAGATGTCAAGAATGAGGTTCAATTTTGCTTCCCTCTGGGATCCATGGTGACAAGGCACTTAAGGACAACTGGGTGGGCTCAGTTTGCCTGTGCATTTACCCTATAGGATGTTTTAGGGACTTTTATACTCATGTGTTAAGCCGTATTTTATTAGTACCTCCCTTGAGCTGGGATGCACTTAATCCTTTTGGGGTTTGCGGCTGTGCTTGTTGGCTTGAATCCAGGCCTACGATGAAATCTCTGGCTTTCCCCGGAATAACCCAGGGCCTATTAGTTATAACACCCGCCGAGGGAGCCAGCCCAGCTGACGTGCAGGGGGCAGCAGGGTCTGGGCCTCTCCCCGGCAGGGGCAGGACCCGTGCTCCGCAGTGTGAAGAGGGCTTTCCGGCCTAAAACGGGCGCGGGTAAACGCACAGCACCGTGCTGGGGACGGTTTGGCTGCAGAAGAACGCCACGTGGTTTGCCCGGGGTCCCTGGGGTCCTCAGACAAGCCTGGAAACGGGAAATCAATCAATATCCCCAGAGCCTCAGCTCAGCCTTTCATTTCCTGCCCACACTTCACAAAGAACCATGGGCACAAAGAGAGGGCTTGAGCCTTGTCCTCCTCATTCCCTCCAAAGCAAGTCTGTGAGGAGGGAGGGGAGCCGCCTGCCTGTTACTGACAGGTGAGAGCCGGTACAGGCGAGCCTGGGTTTCCAGAGGAGACCGTGGTCTCAAACGCCTTCCTGCATGAAGTGGCCAGGCCGTGGTGCTAGGTGGGCCTTCTGCCCCGAGTCTCCCCAGAATTCTGAGACTCAGGATGCGGAGGAGCCGGTTCTGTCCTCCCTGTGCCGAATCACAGCAAGGCCCAGGCCCACACACGCTTGTGGTGGCGCTGGGCTCCAGGGAGTCAGGTGGGAGTGACTGTCCACCTGGCACTGGGGCGTGCTCTCCTCCCTCTACCTCCCGGGCCTCTGCTTCCCTCCCCCCACTCCCCACTGCCCCACTGGCCCAGCCAGTGCTCACCTCCCCTGAAGAGGCTGCTCCTGGCTCTGGGGGAGTCTAAACAGAGCAAAACCTCCCCACAGAGACCCAAAGAGAGGCCGTTTGAGATCCATTTCCTAATTGCTTAGAGATCCCAGGCTTCTCTTCCAGCCAAAGTACTCTCAGTGGAATTGGAGGAGGCATGCTGGGACCTCTTTATTTGTGATCAGTTTTCTCCCTCATTAAATGTAGAAAAGTGCTTGGCTGCATGACACCTGGGCTAGGCCAGTCAGGTGGCCCTAGCTCCCCAAGCCCCAAGGTCCCTGGGCTGCGCTGACTCCCAGGCACTTGGGATGGCATTTGGGGCCATTAACCAACCCCCTCATGGGAGCAACATGCTAACATAGGCCAACTGTGACCTCACAAGGACACAAGTCCACTGCCTGCTGACCTGGGAATACGACGAGAGGTGGTCAAAGTATTCCAGAAGTTAAGTTTGCTGTGCTGGACTGAGGGAAGTGCTTACTGGGTGGGGCGGTGGGAAGGTGTTGTTGAAAGTAGAGTGGCATGGAAGACACAATTCCAGTGGTAACCCTTGCTGGATATCTCCCGTGCACCATCCCTGTTTCAAAATGAGGAACCTGGGGCTCAGAGACAGCAAGTGATTTGCCCAGACCCCCCAGCCCTACAGTTAGTAAGTGCAGAACAGATCTTGACTCCAAAGCCCAGGCTCTTGACCCCTGACCTCCCCTCCTCGCCGGGGCGTGGTGTTGTTGCTATTGGAGAATCCAGATGTGGGGTGCAGGGGCAGGGGGACAGCAGGTCAATGTTGAGCTGCTGTGGGTGTTGCAGACCTGAAGGGGTTTGTTTTCCTGCGTGCATCACAGCCCAATAAGACGTGCACAGGAGTTAGTAGCAAAGAAAGGAAAGGTTTATTGAAGGAAGTAGCACCCAGCTCGGAGGCATGGATGAGCTAGTGTTCTAAAACCTGGTTCCCTGACGGCTTCTGGGGGATGGATTAGAGAGAGAAAAAATCGTTAATCATCGCAACTAAAGGAGTTAGGGTCGGGGGCCCACTGACAGGTCTGGGCTAAGGTAGGGGGTGGTTAGTATTGCATCTGGTCCTAATGTCAGCCATGGAGTTGTTCTGTCTGGTTATGCAAGAATGTGGTCAGTAGGGCCAATCCACCTTCATGGGTCTGGGGCTGAGGCAAAACTGAGGGCAAGGTGTTATCTTTAGTTTGACAGAAACTCTCTTCTCTTGATCAACAGAGTTGAGGCCTTGTTCTTTCCTTTAAATATTTATCAAATTGGTTGGGGCGACGTTGGTCAACATGAACATACAGGTTTCAGGTGTGGGTGTCTATGTTACAAGATCTGTCTATTGCACCGTGTGCCCACCACCCAAAGTCAGATCTTCTCCTGTCGCCTTATATTAGGACCCCCTTCTCCCCCACCCCCTTCCCTCTGGCAACCACCACACTGACCTGTACTCATGCGTTTCAGTTTTATATCCCACATATGAGTAAGTCATACTATAGTTCTTAGCTTTTTCTGACTTATTTCACTCAGCATACTGTTCTCAAGGTCCATTCATGTTGTTGCAAATGGTGCTATTTTGTCCTTTCTTATGCTGAGTAGTATTCCATTGTGTATATGTACTGCATCTTCTTTATCCAGTCCTCTATTGCAGGACACTTTGTTTGTTTCCATGTCTTGGCCACCGTGAATAATGCTAGAGTGAACACAGGGGTGCATGCATCTTTGCGAATACATGATTTCGAGTTTTTCAGGTGTGTTCCCAGGAGAGGGATTGCTGGGTCGTGTGGTAGCTCTGGTCTTTAATTTTTTGAGGAACTGCCAGAATACTTTCCATAGTGGTTATACCGGACTACATTCCCACCAGCAGTGAATGAGGGCTCCCTTTTTCCCCCACAGCCTCTCCAACACTTGTCATTGCTTATCTTGTTGATAATGGCCACTCTCACAGGGGTAAGGCGGTATCCATGGTAGTTTAGATTTGCATTTCCCTATTTGCCAGTGAGGTTGAACATTTTTTAGATATCTATTGGCTGTTCATATTTTCTTCTTGGGAGAGGTGTCTGTTCAGGTCCTTTCCCTACTTTTTGATTGGTTGCTTGTTTGGTGCAAGTTTTATGAGTTCTTTATATATTTTGGAAATTAAGCCTTTGTCGGTGTGCAGATATCATCTCCCGTCTGGCTGGCCGCCTCTTTGTTTTGTTGTCCGTTTATTTTGCTGAGCAGAAGCATTTTAGTTTGATACAGTCCCATTCATTTATTTGTGCCTTTACTTCCCTTGCCTTTGGGGTCACGTTCATATACTGTTCTCTATGACCATAAGGCTTTGTTCTTTAAGGCAGTTTGACGCTGACCAGAACCTAATTGTCCTGAGGGCTTAATGATGAGGAAGTGGTGGTGCAGTGTGTGCAAAGGTGGAGGGATCTGGTCAAAGGAGGCAGTGAGTCGTGCTGCGATGAGACTGGACAGAGCTGGCTTGAATTAAGGAAAAAGCCGTATTAAAGAAATGACGTTCCTGTACGGCTACAGGGGCTGCACACTGTGGGGAACGGGGCAGGAACCCTGCCTCATTCACTCATTCATCTCTGTCCCGGTGTTGAGCTTAGACCTGATCAGAAACAGCTGGCCAAGCGAGAATCTGAGCAAGGACCCCTGGCAGTGACTGTAAAGGCCCAGCCCCTGCCCCCAGCAGGACAGGAGCTGGGGGACTGCATGGCTGGGTGTCACCAGCTCCGGGTGGGGCTGAGCAGGTCACTGTGCAGACTCCCGGTGCTGCTCGGGTTGCCAGGAGGCTCTCAGAGGCGGGGGGCATGGGGAGCTTTGCAGGCTGTGGCCTGGTGCCAGCGGGTAACGTTCGGGCAGGAGGACCCGGGGAGGCTGAGAAGGCACTGCTGGTGCTCAGGCACGCAGAGCACTGTGTTTCTACGGAGTCCCCTGAGGAAAGGGTGGGAAGGCGGCAACATTCACCTGTGGGATTGGTTCCATCCCCCCACCCAAAGCTTGAATGATGGCCCTGAGCAGCTTGGGTAGAATTCGGTGCAATTGCCCAGCAGGGCTGCTGAGGTCCCTTTGGGTTCCCTTCAGGTGGCAGGTGGCCTGTGGCTTACTCTGAGGCAGTGCTCGGACGCACAGAGAGAGAGCAGTGTTCTCTGTGTGGTCCTCCAGCTGGGATCGCCTCAGAGGGTAGACAGGAAGGAGAGGAGGATGAAGGGAGGAGATGGGGGCGGGGCTCAGAAGATTCCACCAGAACAGCAGCTGTGCTGGGGAGTTTGTGTGTGGCCTGTGGGCCCATGAGACAGAGATGCCACTCCTGGGAACAGGAGCTGGGCTGGGGGCTGCTCCATCCTACGCCCAGGGCAGACCCAAGCTGCTAGCACCTCTGTCAAAGGGTCAAGACATGAACTCTGAGCCAGGCAGACCTAGTGCTGGTACTTCCTTGACATACAGTCTTAGGCTAGTAAACTTACCTGTAGGTGGGAATAATAATAACACATCCTGCCTCATAGGCCTGATGAGATATGATATATGGAAAAGCCTGATACAGATATAGTTCAAAGCCCATGGTAGGAGAAGATATGGGGGAGATTTGGGGTTGTCTCAAGCCCTATTTTACTGTAGTTGGAGGACACAGGTCTGAGCTAGTGGCTCCTCAGAGAGCCTCCAACCCATTATACAGATGGGAAAATCATGACCCACAGAAATTTGCCAAATGAGGAATAAAATATAGACTTCTCTCTGGAGCTGCCTCACTCCCTGGTGGCAAGAGCAGGGCCCCCATATACAGGCTGGGCCACCATCTTCTGAAGCTCTCCCTCGTGACTTGGCCTTGACCTGGGTGGCTAAAGGAATCCCTTCCAGGAAACTACTGCCTCTCTTAAATTATTAGTATTACTTCCCCATAGACCAGGCCTCCCAGGGATGAGGCCCAAACACTGACATGATTTATAACTTCATGCAAACCTCCTGCATTGCTTTCATCAGAAGGAGCAGGAACTCCAGACATAAACGATTAATCCATTAAATTAAAAACACCCCCGACCTCCCCACCATTCAGACACGTAGCAATTCATCCCCCAAAGCCGCAATCATCACCTCCCGCGTCTGTTGACGTCTCCCACGCGGTGCTTTCGTGACTGTGCCTCTTACTCGGGACACGTTCGTGCTCCTTCCAGCTCGGGAGTGACCGATGCTTCCCAAAGAACGCGGGCCTTTGTGTCATGATTTCAACATTTTCACGGGAAGGCTTGGCAAACTTTTAAATGAAGGTGTTTACACAGGACATATGAATCTCAAATGATTTTTAGTGCACAAATTACACCAAAGAAGAGGGGAGGTACGGGCCCCCCCCAAAAAAAAAACAACAAAAACAGTCGGGTCCTTGCCTTGTTGTTGGCAGAAAGCTGATTCTCCCCCCGCCCCCCTTAGGGCAGGCAGGATGCTTTCTCCGTAGCATCTGACAGGGTCCCGTCCAAGTGGGGCCCAAGGGCACCAGGTCTTTGAGGCCTCCCTGCCCGGGGCTCTCTTCGGCTCTGCCTGTCCTGATCAATTATTTGATCAGACCTAACACTCAGACAACTCCAGTCTGCTCCTCGCCGCCCTCCCTCCCCCGCAGCCCAAGGTGAGTGGCCACGAGTGCGATCTTGTGCACTGACCCCGTAAGAGGGCGCCTGGGTTTCTAGCAGACCCCCGTTTCCCTGGCAGACAGCCTTCCCGTGGACCTTCACAGCCGGATGTTATGTGGGCTTCTCTCCCTAGCTCTGCTGCTCTGTGCTGGGGGCCCCACGTGGAGCTAAGACCCCGTGCTCCTCAGGGGGAACTTTTGCAGCTGAGATACCCCCAGAGTCCCAGCCCCTGCCTTTGGGAGCAGGGCCAGCGGGTCCCATGTCTCTGCCCTTCTATAGTCTCCATGCGGCGTCTTCTGTAAATTCTTGGTTACAAGACTTTTTCTTTTTCACAGATGCCCCCCATTCTCCCCAGTCATAAGACTTCTCTTCTGCCGAAACCGGTTTGGCTCAGTGGATAGAGCGTTGGCCTGCGGACTGAGGGGTCCCAGGTTCGATTCCGGTCAAGGGCATGTACCTGGGTTGCGGGCACATCCCCAGTTGGAGATGTGCAGGAGGCAGCTGATCGATGTTTCTCTCTCATCGATGTTTCTGACTCTCTATCTCTCTCCCTTTCTCTCTGTAAAAAAATCAATAAAAATATTTTAAAAAATAAAAAAAAAAGACTTCTCTTCAGCTAGCCTTCAGCTGGTCATTCAGGATGATTGCTCTATATTTTAGTTGTAATTCCAGTTTGGTCCTGGGAGGAGGGGCCTGTACCTCCACCTCCTCTGCCTTCATCTTGCACTGGGATGCTGTCGCTCATTGGACAATAGGAGCTTCCAGACAAGTAGCTGCCCACTTCAGGAAGAATCCATCCCCCGTCATTCCAAAGGAAGTGTGATGCTTTTGTTTCATTCAGTTTAATAGCCAGGTGCCTTTACACACGCTGTCACGAACCCGTTGGAAGTAAGTAGAGTAGAATGTGTGAGTAGGGAAGAGCCCTCAATTCCACTGAAAAATGGTAATTATTTTATCTCCTGGGCCCAAAGCTGGGGGTAGGATGGAAGGTCCTCCAGATAGTCTCCACTTCTTCTGGGTAACTCCCCACAGACAGCCCAGGTAAGAGAAGCCTGCGGCCTATGGAGGGTGACGCCTTGCCCACCCACGCTCATCTGGTGAGTGGGCCAGGCCATAGCCCCAGCCCCGAGCTGGACTGCAGGGCCCACGGCCGAGTCAGCGTTAAGGAGGGCACACTTGCCTTTCACCCGTGTTCCCGGGATTGAGAAGGGGAGCAATAAAAATGACCCACTGGAAAATCAATGGATTGCCCGGAGCCGTGATATAATGAGTAGCCCTGCCAGTCAGTGCTCATAAGTGCTTTGTGAAGCACTTCCTGCAAGACATAAGCCTCTGTCCAATGGCTTGCTGATAACAGAAATCATATATCTGAGTTTTATTCATTCAGAAATAAATGTCAGTGGCTATTGCTCTTCACATGCAGCAGCTGAACCACATTAAATATTTGGTTGTCTTCCTGATCATATTTAGAATAATGATGAAAGCCATGAATTACAGGGTAGGAAGCCTGACGTGTTTGTTGCCTGCAATCCGTTTTATAGCTTTCTCTTAGGGCTTGAGTTGCTGAATAGGATGGTTGTAAACTGCTTACAAAGAGAAGTGCGGAGTTGCCTCTCAGCTCACCTCCCTGGAGCAGGGTTTCGTGACTGGACCCCAGGCCCGAGGCCAGGTGAGGGCCTTCTCTTACCGTCACTGGTTCTCACCCGCAGTGCCACCAGTCATCCGCGTCTACCCGGAGACCCAGGCACAGGAGCCGGGGGTGGCGGCCAGTCTGAGGTGCCACGCGGAGGGCATTCCTATGCCCAGAATCACTTGGCTGAAAAATGGCATGGATGTCTCAGCCCAGATGTCTAAACAGCTCTCCCTTTTGGGTAAGAAGCGCCCTCGATGTCTCTGTGCTATTCCCACCAAGTTCAAGCTGACACCCTCCCCAGGATGGAAATGAGAGGCGTGAGTTGATTCTAAGTCAGACATGTTGGAGTGAACAGATGTCTCCCCAGACTGTTCTACTCCCTGGGCTCCCACAGTCTCATGGGCTTTCTGAGGACAGTGATGAGAGGCTGCCAGTCAGGTCCCAGGTCACCCTCAGTTCACTCAGGTGTTCTGGCCCTTGGTGGGTGACTGTCCGGGATGTGGGCTACCCTCAGCCCTGCTGAGGGGCTCTGTGTTTTTAATGCCTACACAGAGAATGGGGAGGGTGGAAGGGGGGTCCAGCTGAGCGGGCCATGCTGAGCACTGTCCTTTCCGCAGCCAATGGGAGCGAACTCCACATCGGCAGCGTCCGGTATGAAGACACAGGGGCGTACACCTGTATTGCCAAAAATGAAGTGGGCGTGGACGAAGACATCTCCTCCCTCTTCATTGAAGACTCAGCTAGAAAGACCCGTGAGTCCACTCTTGCCTTTGAGCTTTTCACTGAGCTGGTGGGATGTGTGGGGTGTCAGGGAGGGAAGTAACTGACTAGGGCCAGAGCTGTCAACCATGAGCCCCTGAAGACAGGTAACACCCATATCCATCTGGGCTCAAACTGGGGACAGAGGATGCCCAGAGGGGAGCACACCTTCCCTGACTCTAGAAACATAGAGGAGCTCTCTGGACAGCAGACAGAGCCCAGGACCACAAGGAAGCTCACATATCCTGGCCCCAGTTCTGCTTCTTACCTGCCCTGGAACCCCTGCCCTCATCTACAAAACATCCCCTACTATCCACCCACCAGGGGCCGCTGCCCCACGTGGCCCAGGGACTGGCTGTGCACACCGGCCTTTATCCAGGGATGTCGCCCACCTGGGTGCTAAGGGTGCTCTCCCTTGTGGCCACCGCTCCCCAAGTGGGTCCGCTGCTGTGATTTCAAGGACGTGGGTGCTGGCCATGGTCTCATTCCCTCAGTCACAGTTTCATATGAGTCTTTCCCAGCAAGGGAGGTCCTCAGAGTGTTTCAGATAAGGAGGATCCTAGTTGAAAGTCGGAGCTCTCCTGGAAGTAATCCTGCGCATCTGAGAGAGAGGTTGCTGCCTCTTTGTCATCCTGGGAAGTAGAAAGCCCCATTAGCTTCTGGGATCCTGGGACCTGATGTCAAGGATTCATTCAGAATTGAAAGGGTCCTGAGACCCGGAGGCATTTGTCCATGTGCACAGTCCCCAGTGCGGCCGCGGGAGTCCGTGGTGCCGTTCTGTGCACTCGATGGCAGATGTTCTCGAACTGACACTGTGAGGAAGGTTCTCACTCTGCTTTCTTCTCTTTTCCTCCCCTCCGCCGGCTCCCGCTCTCCCAATCTCCGCTGCTGCAGTTGCAAACATTCTCTGGCGCGAGGAAGGTACCAGCTCATTGTTCTGTGTTGTGTCTGTGGTCACGTGTGTTGGTAGTTCCAAAATAGGCCATCTTTCCATGAGTGCCAAACAGTCCCACAAGCGGGGTTCACGTGCCAGATCAGACCGGAGGGGGGAGGTCCAAGTCAAACTCAGGCGGCGCACCCTGAGAAGCACATTTCACACCGCCTCATGTCTTTAATGGTCACCAATGCATTAGAATTTAGAAACGGAAAGTTTCCATTTCGAGCTCATTGAAACCTCCCCTGGAGGGGCCCACTCAGCAGGGGCTTCTGGTCAGATCCAGGCCTTAAACTTTTCTCCGGCAGCTGGTGTTGGTGTTGGGTTTAGTATATACTCTGAAGAAATGCTGAAGGAGAAAGCTATGGTGATTTCTGTAAATTTATATTTATTTACATGTATGTTTTTAAATGAATAGGCTTTTGAAATTTGTATTAGCAAACAATCTTTAAACATTAGATTGGGCCATACAAAGCTGCGTTTTTGTACATCAAAACTGGCCTAATGTGGACAGTTTCATATGGTTCAAAAAATAGCAGACTCTTGATGCTGCCTGACCCTAGCTCCTAGCCATGAGGCACCCAGGGAGCTTTTGCTCTGCGTCTTTAAGAGGCGGTGTTTTTCTAAGGAGGTTACTACAAAGAGACCCAGAGAATGCAGGGGGCCCTGGGGGTGTGAAGTACAGCTAGGGAGGCCCACTTAAGACCTACGCTGCCCAAGGGCTGGCAGGTGCTGCACTAATATCAGACAACCCAGCAGCAAGCACTTCCCATCATGCCTGGGCAGCTGGTACCCTTCACCGCTAAGACTCAAGGCCTGGAGATAGGAAAATGCAGAGGCCAAAACAGAGAGGCAAGCTGGCCGCCCACAGGGCACGCTCAAGTCTGCCCAGGAGAAATGAGACGATGAGAGCACACAAAAGCAAGGAAGCTCCTTGGTGCCCCCTTAGCACAGTGATGGCAAACCTATGACACGCGTGTCAGAGGTGACACGCGAACTCATTTTTTGGGTTGATTTTTCTTTGTTAAAGGGCATTTAAATATATAAAATAAATATCAAAAATATAAGTCTTTGTTTTACTATGGTTGCAAATATCAAAAAATTTCTATATGTGACACGGCACCAGAGTTAAGTTAGGGTTTTTCAAAATGCTGACACGCCGAGCTCCAAAGGTTCACCATCACTGCCTTAGTAGAAGCTAAGCCCAGACAGAACCTTCAGCTGGGGGGGCAGGGGAGGTCGATCATGAGGCTGGGTCTCCTGTGAAGCCGATTGTTTGTTGAGTATTTGTTTAGTCTCATGTTCCATTGCCAGCTGTGAGCAAGGCCCTGCGCTCAGCCTGAAATGTGGCTACAGCTGCAGACCCCATGGAGATTCTGTTAAGCCTTCAGTCTTACCATGGTCCTTCCGACCATCAATTTTCTGAGAAGCCCCGGGAGGCTGTTCCTGGGGCCTGTTGTTGAGCCAGGGCTGTGTCCCCCTCCGCCCCCGAGGTGTGAGTGAGAAGTTTGCCAGGGGAGAGGGGACAGAAGCAAAGGTCCTGCTGGGGGCTGAGAGCCGGCTGAGACTCATGGCTTGTCTAACTCTCACGCAGCTCTGCAGATACTCCTGGTCAATGCCGGCTTTGAGAGGCGGGGTCAGGCTGCTCGCCATGGCAGGAGCCCTCTTGCCTAGAGCCCTTCTCAGCACAGAACCAGAGGTAGTCGAGGCTGCTTCATGGACTCAGGGACCTCTGTCCTCACTGGGAGCCGCAGGCACTGGTGCCGTCACCATGGGCCTGGCGCCCCGAAAACTGCCTGCAGAGTCATTGGCAGCTAATGGGATGGTGATTCCTATTTGCCTGACTTGTTGTTTTCTAACTCACTGAAAACTTCGCCAGACAAGTTTTTAAGAGGTGGTGTTTTTCTAAGGTGAGGTGACTGCAAAGAGACCCAGAGAATGCAGGAGGCCCTGGGGGTGTGACATGCAGTTACAGAGGCCCACGTAAGAGGGGTTCAGAGTTCGGGCGGGGTCCACCCATGCACAGCACCCTAACCTGGCTCCCTGCAGAGCCCCCTCTGTGCTGCACATCAAGGCACTGGTGCTCTCTGCATTCGAGGAAAGAGTTCTCCGCATATTTATTTAATATATTTCATTTTTTCAGAACTTATAGAAATCTTTTTGGGGGAGCCAAGGGAGGTTTAGCTTTAGTAACTAAACTCCCCAGAACTTATAGAAATCTTTTTATTGTTCTACCTTCAAAATATATGAAAGAGTGGGGAGAAAGTGGGAGGAAGAATTCCAACTTTACCCATCTCTGTGCCAGGTTGGCCTTTTATGGAGAGGCAGAGTGAGGGGACACTCTGAGCAGGGGCTCAGGGTCTAACCCCAACTCGGGCACAAAGGCAGGTGGCCTCCTGGGACCTCAGTTTCTTTGTCTTTGAAATAAGGAGGCTACACTAGTTGGGGGTCCCCAAGGCCTTTTCTTCCCAGACGGCTGAGCCCTGGGCCGGGTGAGGGCAGGTAGGCAGGCACAACCAGCTGCGGGTTCTATCACCTGGCGCGAGCTGCCACGGAGACACCGCTGGGGCAGAGGTGGAGCCCGCGGTCTTGAAGGAGGGGTTTGCCGGCACAGACAGGCTGGGACTCGGTTTGGACCGAGGAGCACCTGCCACAGCATTCTTAGGGCCCCCATCCCAGGAAGTGGCGCTGCGCCTAAATGTGTTCAAAGTGAGAGCCTTTGCTTTGGGGGATGTCTCATCCATTCTGAATTTAGTGGACAGCGAACGGCCAAGGGCGGCTTTGCCTTTCAGGACAGGAACGGTCAAATGTATGTCAAAGCCACGGCTGTCGTTGATTTGAAAGCCTGTGTTGGTGGCCACTCTGGATGACTGGTGGGCATGTCTGGGAGGACACCCGGGGACCGCAGGGCCCTCTGTGTGCTATTCTGATTGGCAGCCCTCGGGGCACCTTCTCCCCTGCTCCCCACACCACCTGCTCATCTCACCTCACCCCACCTTGACCAGGACTTGCACTGCGCGCCTGCACCCCATGCACCCAAGCTGCAGTTTTGTGTGCGCCCGATGTGGCATGTGACCCCACGGGGGGAGGGGGTCGGTAGCTGCTAGAGGGGCATAACCATGGCTGTGTTTGCTCCTCCCAGGCCTCAGTGTGGGAAACATGTTCTATGTCTTCTCCGATGACGGCATTATCATCCTGCACCCCGCGGACTGTGAGATCCAGAGGCACCTCAAACCCTCTGAGAAGATCTTCATGAGCTATGTAGGTTCCCACGCCCAGTCAGTCTTTCACCTCGGGTGCCATTTGATTCTTAAATTCCATCTACTGTACGTGGTGTGGTTCCAATTTGTCCCAAGGCTCAAGGAACACGAGGCCGAGCATGTAAATGCCTGTTCCTTCATCAGGCAGCCACGTCCACGCACTGAGCCCGAGGGGAGGCCCAGGCCTATGAATGGGTTCCTGGCCTCCCCAAGTTCACAGCTGCCCAGTGGGTGCTGTTAGAGGATGTGCCAGGTGCGCTAGAAATTGAGGAGAGAAGGCCCCTGGGACACATGATCCCTGGGCTCAGTTTTAAAGAACAAGTCAGAGTTGGTGGCAGGTTTCTGGAACAAATGTCATGAACATGGAGAGTAGAGGATAAAATATTTCATGTTCAGGGAACGGAAAGTACTCTGTGTGCCTAGAGGGGAGGGTGGGTGTGGGAAGGGCCTGAAATTGGGAAGGAGTTCTAATGGTACCCTAAAGCTCTGGGAACCCCTGAAGGACTTCAGACAAAGGGTGGCCATGATCAGGAACACATGCAAGACCTCAGGGAGGGCAGTGGTCAAAAAGGCTGGCCTAGAAGCACAGAGGGGTGAAGAGGTCATTGTAATTGTCCAGGTGGGAAGGTGGTGTCCTGGTTAAGCCCATGGCAGTGGGGAAGGGGAGAACTGCGTGGACTCAGAGCTGGTCACAGGTAAAACCACAGGGGGCCTGAGGGGAAGCCAGAGCCTTGCTAGCAGGAGGAGGGTGCCAAACACCCCATGGGAGGGTTACAGTGGAACGACCCTCTTTCTAAAGTGCTGGTGAGTAGGAAGTTGGTGCATCCTCTCTCGGCCTCTCTGCTGGATTAGATGTCCATCCACTTTGTTCAGCGGGAAGCAGCAAGTTTAATTGGTAAGGGCACAGGCTGCAACAGAGGGACGTGCCCTTGACCGGAATCAAACCCCTGATCCTTCAGTCCTTGGGCCGACACTCTAACCACTGAGCTAAACCAGCTAGGGCGGCCTCAAAGTTATTGGTCCAAGGAAGTAAAGCAATGGAGATGTCGTTGTTTTTTTAATGGAATGAGCAGGGCTGATGGTAAAATTGAGAGTTATTTTGGACTTACATGTCTGAGATGTTCATTAAACAATCAAGTCAAGCTAAATAGTTGGCTATAAGTCTGGAGCTCAGGGAAGAGGCCTGAGCTAAAGATGTAAATTTGGGAGTTGTAGGCATATAGACTGTAGCTAAGGCCGTAGGTTTGGGTGAGATTAACTTTAGAGAAGAAAAGTTACTCAGGGTGAACTCTGCAGGATCCAGCAACAGAAAGGGCCCAGCCACGGGGTGGGATGGAGGGAGAACCAAGGAGTAGTCAGATGGTGCCCCAAGTTCAACTAAAATGATGGCCAGGGATTAATTTACAACTGAGGAGTCAGGTGTTCTGACCTTGGTGAGAACACTCCCAGCTTCGTGGTGAGTTCAAAAGCAGAGGGTTAAGGGCATATGAGAGGTGAGGAAGCAGAAAAGTGTAGGGAACTCTTTCACAAGTCTGGCCATTAAGAGACGTTTTTAAAATAATGGCAATGAGGACAAAGAGAACGTAGCACAAAAGAGTGGAAGACCATGCCCTGGAAGCTGCTGATGAAGAGGCTGCAGGGGCAGGTGCAGCCTCAGAAGTGGGAGGAGGGGAAATTGGTGAGGTGGGGGGTTGCGTGCCATGTTCTGTGAATCCAAAGGATTCTGAGTGTGGCAAGAAAGGGACCGAGGAGAGTCAGGGGAGAGGGAATCCCGAGAGACCGGGGGAGGGGCGGGGCGGGAGAGAGGGGGATTAAGAAGTATACATGGTAGCCTATCTCCTTCGCAGGAAGAAATCTGTCCTCAAGGGGAAGGGGACGCCACCCAGCCATGCCAGTGGGCGTCGGCAGTGAACGTCAGGCACCGGTACATCTACGTGGCCCAACCGGCACTGAACAGAGTCCTCGTGGTCGACGTTCAAGCCCAGAAAGTCCTGCAGGTACACCTGTCTGAGAGGGCACAGCCTGCCTAAGTCGTCTTTGCTTTCTGCACCCTCTCCGGCTGCTGTGAGGGCAGGGCAGGCTGGAGGGGGAAAGCAAAGGGGGTTCATGTGCAGTGGTTCAAGTCTTTACTGCCTACCAGGTGCCATGCGCTATGCTAGGTGCTTGGGAAACAGCCAAAAATGAGCAAGGAAGTTCTAGGTCTTATATGGTAGTTGGGGAAACAGGCCCTAAATCAGAATGTTAGGGAGTTTTAAATAGTAAGTGCTACGTTACTCGAGGCGAAATGTGCTAGAGGAACTGGAAGATGATTTTAAATTGGCTCTGGAGAGGAGCAGAATCTGAGATCTAAATGCCAAGTGGGGTTCCGGTCCTGGGAACAGAGGGAAGGCCCGCGATAAGGGGGGAGTGGGTGCTGGGAAGTCGCAGGTGAACGAAGGCTAATGAGGTAGAAACAGTGAGATGGAAAGCCACTGAAGGGCTTTAGTCAGGGGAGTGACTCGATCTGGCTACTGTATTAAGAAAGGACTGGAAGCAAGAGCAGGGGTGGGGTCACTGCAAGGAACCAGGCAGGAGAGGACAGCAGTGGAGGTGGTGAGAAGTGATCAGATTCGGGATGTAGTTTAAACAGGGAGCCCCAAAGATTTTCTGCTGGGTGGAAGGTGAGGTTTGAGAGAGCAGAAGCCTTTGTTTGCTTGCTTGAACTTCAGCAACTGTAGAATGGGGATGCCGTTTACTGTGTGTGGTGGGCTGACCGATGGCCCCCAGGATGTGTGACTGTCACCTCATATGGCAAAAGGAATTTAGCAGATGTTAATGAATTAAGGATTTTAAAATGGGGAGTTATTCTGGATTATCTGTGTGATCCCTAAATGCAAACAAAAGTATCCTTATAAGAGAGAGGCAGGGATAAATTTGAAGAAGTTTTGCAGAGAAGGAGGGCGCAGCATGGCATATGGCTGACTTTGAAGATTGGAGAACAGGCCATGAGCCAAAGAATGTAGTTCTAGAGCAGTGGTTCTCAACCTTCCTAATGCTGCGACCCTTTAAATACAGTTCCTCATGTTGTGGTGACCCCCAACCATAAAATTATTTTCGTTGCTACTTCATAACTGTAATTTTGCTACTGTTATGAATCATAATGAAAATATCTGATATGCAGGATGTATTTTCATTGTTACAAATTGAACATAATTAAAGCATAGTGATTAACCACAAAAACAATATGTAATTATATATGTGTTTTCCGATGGTCTTAGGCGACCCCTGTGAAAGGGTCGTTCGACCCCCAAAGGGGTCACAACCCACAGGTTGAGAACCGCTGTTCTAGAGGCTGGGAAAGTAAGGAAATGCATTCTCCCCTAGAACCTCTGCCATGGTCGGCAAACCGCGGCTCCTGAGCCACATGCGGCTCTTTGGCCCCTTGAGTGTGGGTCTTCCACAAAATACCACATGAGGGCGCGCATGTACAGTGCGATTGAAACTTCATGGCTCATGCACAGAAGTCGGTATTTTGTAGAAGAGCCGGTATTTTGTGGAAGAGCCACACTCAAGGGGCCAAAGAGCCACATGTGGTTCTCAAGCTGTGGTTTGCCAAGCCGCAGTTTGCCGACCACGGCCTAGAGCAGCGTTCTCAACATGTGGGTCGCGATCCCTTTGGCAGTTGAACGACCTTCACAGGGGTCACCTAAGACCATCCTGCATATCAGATATTTACATTATGATTTATAACAGTAGCAACGAAAATAATTTTATGGTTGGGTCACAACATGAGGAATTGTATTTAAAGGGCCAGAAGGTTGAGAACCACTGCTCTAGAGGGAGCACTGCCTTACAGAGCCATGTTGGTTCAGTCATGAAATTAATTTCAGATTTCTGGCCTCCAGAAACTGTAAGAGAATAGATTTGTGTTGCTTTCAGCCACTAAGTTTGTGATAATATGTTACTGCACCAATATGTTACTGATATACTATGAGAGACACTTTGAGCAAGGCTAGGGGAGAAAATTATGAAGTCAGTTTTGGCTCTGTTCAGTTTCAGGTGATGTATATAAAGTAAGCAGTTAGATAAACAGGTCTGGAGTCAAAGGAGAGATCTACGCTGGACATGTCAATGAAGGTATCACCACCATATGAACCATATTAAATCCAGAGAACTGGATGAGAAATCACTCAGGGTAGTATAGACAGAGAGGAGGTGCAGGTCGGAGCACTCCAACACGTAAAGATCGCACAGGAGAGAAGAAGCCAACAAGAAGACCCAAAGGAACAAAGAAAATTAGAGATGGGGTATCCCAGAAGCCCAGAAAAATGTTTTAAGGGAGAGTTAGTGGTCAGTGGTATCAAATGTTGCAGAGAGCATTTGCACGTTATGAAAACGGACCATTGGATTTGGTGCCATGTGGGTCACCTTGGCAGGCAGGAACAGAGAGGATGGTGGAATGCAAGCCTGAGGGAGAGATCCAAGTTAGAATGGTAAGGAAGTGGAAATGGTGAATATAGGCAACCATTTTGAGGATGTTTGCTGTAAAGGTGAGTTACAGGTAGACAAATGAGGCAGTAGCAGGAAGAGGATATGGAAGGAACTTTATTTTTAGCATAGGTGACATTATAGCATTTAAATGCTAATGGAGAGAGTTGTTCCCCCGAATTCTTCTGCCTCATGGAATTAAGCAGGGATCAGTGAAACCCAGGGCATGCAAGTGGAGATGCCAGCCTCAGGTAAAAGCACACCCTTTCATTGTAAGAGGAGGAAAGAAAGTACACAGGTACCGGTGCCAATACCTGATACAGTCGCTGGTAGTTGGATGAACTCTTCTGGTTGCTTTAATTTTCTCAGGGAATAAGAAAAATTATCACCGAGGTTGGAGGAGAGAGGTGAAAGTTGCATGCGAGGTTGAATTTACCCAGGAAATGGGAAAGGACTTCTGGGTAATCGTGAAGGCCCACGTAAGGATTGTGGATGTAAATTTAAAGTGAGGTCAATGAGCAGGGCTGTATCTTTTTTCCCAGCAATGTTTAGCTGCCCTAGTACAGGCTTATTGTATGGAGAAAGTTGGATATAACCAAGTTAGTGGTTTCTCCTGACAAATACAATAAGAGGCTATTGATTTCCCTGGCCAGAGAACATATTCTGAATAATTTGAAATACCTGGATTTTTTTTTTTTTTTGGATTTTTTTTTTTTTTTTTTTTTTGGTCCACTTAGCCTAACAGCTGCTGAGAGGTATGTTGAAATTCCCCACTGTGATTGTAGTTCTATCCATTTCTACTTTAAAATTATAATACCTCCTGGGGGGAAGACTCCTTTATTCTTATAAAATATTCCTCTTTATTTATGATGATGCTTCTTGCCTGAAAGTCTGTTTTAGTCTAATATGAGTATTACTAAATCAGATTTATTGTAATTAGTGCTGTCATGGTGTAATTTCCTAACCTTTTACTTTCAACCTTTCTCTGTCCATATATTTAAGGTGGTCTTTTATAAAGTCTTTAGGCTTTTATCTAGTTTAATAATCTTGGTCTTTTATTTGGAGTATTTGATCCATTTATGTTTAATGTAATTAATTTATATACTATTATCTAGTACCATACTGTAATTTTTTAATTTGACCTGTTTATGTTGCTTTTCTCTCCTTTTTAGTTTTTGAATTAGTCAAACACTTTTATTATTCCATTTTCCCTCTGTTAGCTTGTTGACAATTCATTCTTTTATATTATTGTTATTACCACCATTGAGATTACAACACGCATCCTTACCTCAATACAGTTTCATAAAAATTACTTCACTTCCCCATTACTGATAGAACCTTAGAACAACTAGCTCTTTTAATTTAACCCTCCCTCCAACCTTTTGCATTATTGTAGGAATGAATTTTAACTCTACATATAATTTAAACCCTGAAGAAATGCCTATTATTATTTTGTACAGTTGCTAGTCATTTATATTCATCCACATATTTACCTTTTCCATTGCTCTTTATTCCCCTGAAGTATATAGTTAGGTCTGGGATCATTTTCATTCTACCTGAAAATGTTCTTTAATGGTTCTTGTGGTGCAGGACTGCTGGCAGCAGAGTCTCGGAGTTTTGGGTTGCTTGAAAATAAAAAATATATAAAGGGCAAATAATGTTAAAGTATATTTTCACTGGATATAGAATTCTACATTATTGGCAATTATGTATTCTCAGCATTTTAAGATGCCTCTCCATTATTTTCCCATTCTTTTTGTTAATAGGTCAACTGTCAATCTTTTGAAGGTAATACTAGTATATCACTTTTTAAACTAATTTTCAGATTTTTCTCTTTGGTCTTTAGCAGTTTTACTAAGATGTGCCAGCTAATGTGTTCTTTGTATTTATTTTGATTTGGGGTTTTTAGAGGTTCTTGAATGTATGGATTGATATATTTCTTCAAATAGTATGCTGTCTCATTCTGGCCTCTTCTTTTGGAACTGTTTTGTTTTTTAAATTAGACCTTTTCATTGTCTCTCACTTATCTTTTTCACTCTCATTTTCCATCTTTTTTTGGCTCTTTGTGCTTCAATTTGGGTATGTTCTATCAACCTTTCAGTTCACTAATTCTATCTTCTGTGTCTAATATGGATATTTTTAAAACCTATTTATTGAGCTCTTAATTCCAAATTACCTTTTTATGGATCACCTGGAGGTCTGTTTTGTTTTGTTTTTTGTTTTAATGTTGTTTTCAGTCATATAGCATGTATCTTGGAAAGCCTAGTAATTTTCTTGCATGCACAACAACATTCCATTTAAAATATTTTAGAGACTTTAGATGGCTCTCATCCACCAAAGAAAGTTTACCATTTCCTTTTTAGGCAGAAATAATAGAGAATGGATATTTTTCATCTTACCAAGTACTAAGTTGAATCAAAGCTGAGTTGAAGTTTTTGTAAAGCTTCACTCCTGGGCCTAATGTGTTCTTCAGGACCTTTTCCCTTTGTTCCTCGGCATCTTGAGACTGTAGGCAAGTCTGTTCTGAATTTGAAGAGATAAGCCAAAAGTCTTAGACTCCTGCTCCTCAACAGCTCACATGAGAATATGAAATATGATGAGAAAGGTTAAGCTGTGAAGAGGGCAGACAATATCTAGAAGAGGTATGAGTAGTCAGGAGGTATTTTTAAGAGAGAGAGAGTATACAAGAATCTAGAGCAGCTGTGGGCAAACTACGGCCCGCGGGCCGAATCCGGCCCATTTGAAATGAATAAAACTAAAAAAAAAAAAAAAAAAAGACCGTACCCTTTTATGTAATGATGTTTACTTTGAATTTATATTAGTTCACACAAACACTCCATCCATGCTTTTGTTCCGGCCCTCCGGTCCAGTTTAAGAACCCATTGTGGCCCTCGAGTTAAAAAGTTTGCCCACCCCTGATCTAGAGAGTGTCATGGTGGTATCATTGCTGGCGTGTTAAGAAGCTCTGGGTAGAAGAAGACAGTGGTAGATCTCAAAGCTTTTGGTAAGCAAAAAGAGTAGCCAGGAAGCTGGGAGTAACAGGAGTATCTATAGACATGAACAAAGGACCTAAGGTCTGTGAAGTGTAGAAAAGCAGTAACAGCCTTGGGGCTTCAGAAAGCAGGAGGTTTTAATAAGAGCAAGAAAGTAAAATGAGACTTCAAAAATGGTGCTGAATGGAGAAAAAAACAATATATTTCAGCAGATTAAAAAGTCAAGAGTTCAGTTTTGTAAGTGTTAAGTTGAGCTCATCGACAGAGGAGCGAACTCTAACGTCCTCAGAGTGCAGTGGGTTAGTTGCAGCCATGGACTGGGTGAGCTCATCCAGGGCCAGGATGTAGACAAGAGAAGGTCGAAGCTGAAGGCCTGGGACATGCCAACGTTCAGAAGTCAGAATGAGGAAGATAAAAGCTAGGGAGGTGGGAGGCTGAGGGAAGAAAATGTTTCCAAAAGGAAATAATTAACCATGTGAAATCTTGCTGAAATGCCAAGTAAGAGGAGGATCACAAAAAATGACCCTCTGAGCCCTGGCCGGGTAGTTCAGTAGGTTGGAGTGTCGTCCTGTGTACACCAAAAAGTTGCGGGTTTGATTCCTGGTCAGGGCACATACCTAGGTGGCAAACAATTGATGTTTCTCACATCAATTTCTCTCTTTCTCTCTAAAATCAGTAAACATCTCTGCGGGTAAGAATTTTTTAAAAAATGATGACCCTCTGAATCTGACATGAAGGACTAGAAACTGTCAGTGAAGTGATGAAGACAGACACTGGGTGGGAATGGGGAAAGGAAAAGTGGATTCAGGGACTCCACAGACAGTTCTTCAGAAGTTTTGACCCATGGGGTTTTCTCTCCTAAAATCTGAAAAGCTAGAATCTGGTTAGCTGAAATATAAGTTATGGTGGCTGAGGTGTGGAAGAAGGAAAGATCATTGAAACCAAGAAGGAACTGAGAATGAATCATCATAGAACAGGGTTTAGAACTTATAAAACTACATTACAAACAGAAGAGAGAAAAGTCTTCATTTGCCAGGGCCACAGGGGAAGCGCAGAGTATCAGTCACAGCAGTAAAAATAACCAGCCTGGTGCTATGGTTTGAGTCCCAGCAGCTCCCGCTGACAAGACAGAGGCTGTGTGGAAAGATAAGGTGAGAAAGGAAGATCTCCGATGACCCAGGAGAAGGGGCCCACTCACCAGTATCCGGGCCATGGAGCAGCCTGGGGAAGGACGCTGAGGGTCTAAGACAGGGGTGGGCAAACTTTTTGACTCGAGGGCCACAATGGGTTCTTAAACTGGACCGGAGGGCCGGAACAAAAGCATGGATGGAGTGTTTGTGTGAACTAATATAAATTCAAAGTAAACATCATTACATAAAAGGGTACGGTCATTTTTTTTTTTAGTTTTATTCATTTCAAACGGGCCGGATCCGGCCCGCGGGCCGTAGTTTGCCCACGGCTGGTCTAAGAGGCCCAACAGGCTTCCAGGGGATGTGATGGAAGGGTCCTCAGCTGATTCTTAAGTGGATAACTTAAAGCTTCTGTGTTTAGGCTTTTGTTAAGATGCTCCGGATCTCTCCTTTAAGTAAAACACACAAGAAGTTTTTAAAAGGGAGAAATTGTTGACCGCCAAACCCAGAAGGCAGGCTTCTGCACTGGGCTGCCTGCCACTCACCCAAGAGCAATGGCCACGTGCACAACGCCCAGAAACGACCACTGTGTCAGCCCCTACGACAACCATGACCAACTTGTCTTTTTTTGTTGTTGTTCAAGTCCATAGGTGTGGACCCTCTGCCGGCTAAGCTGTCCTATGACAAGTCACATGACCAAGTGTGGGTCCTGAGCTGGGGGGATGTGCACAAGTCCCAACCAAGCCTCCAGGTATGTTGAACACACGGAGTCTAACCCCTGCCCCACAGGAAAAGCCTCTCTCCCTGTTTGTCTCCCGCTTCCCTAGTGACTAATCTCATTTATCCAAAATATGTCCATAAGGGCTTAAGGAGAGAGTAGGAAACAGCCTCAGGCCAACACTCTTCACAGACAATGGACAGGGTGTCTTTAGCGAGGCCTGCAGTTAAAGACAGTAATACCCATAATGGGTAGGATTCTCATGGTATGACAATCAGAATGTGGCTCCCAGGCACCACAACACCTGTCCCTCCTGAGCCAGGATCTCCTGGGGTCAAACAGCATGAAGACTGGCAGCCAGGGAGGAAGAAAGGAGACAGGCTCTCTTCACCTTGGGCTGGGCGGGCTAGAGATTTAGTGTCACAGCAAGCACTAGATGCTGGCCAATATGGAAGGGGAAGGAAAGGAAGCAGCAGCAATTATGTCCAAAAATGGAAGTGTGTTTATGGAGTGCCTCCAGGGTGGGAGGGCACAGAAAAGTTAGGTAATCTGCCCATGGTCCAACTCCTTCCCGCAGCAGGCTCTGCAGTCCCTGCCTCCAGCTGCTGTACCCCATCCCGGGAAGAGCTTGGGCCCCAGGGATCTGTGGGATTCCTCGCTCTGCCAGCCAGGGAAGAGCCATGCCACCCCTGTGTTGAGTGTGTGTGGCTCAGCCTTTCTCATCAGAGATGCACGAGAGGATTAAAATCTACATAAAGTAATTTGAATGCCTGTTTTCTCAAGTCTCCCCAAAATGGTGCATAGAACCATTCTAGATGCACAGAAAAGGTAATTCCTTACATACAATGGATGCCTTAGGGTTTAATTCTTTCTCGGTACCCCAGCTGAGAAGGGCTGCAGATGGAGCCAGGTTCACCCTGTTCCCAAGACTGGTGAGAGGCCAGGAACACCCGGCTTTAGAGAGGCTTCCTCCGGGGACTGGCCTCCTGCCTGCCTTTGCTGCACCAGGGGGAGGACACAACTTCACATGTGAACTGAGACTATGTCGGTGATTGAACTCATCCACCAGCCCTGAGCCCTATGAGCTGACAACAAATAATAACAACCCGTTAGAACTCCTAGGGCCCAAGATAACGGTCACTCAGAACGGAGGCTAAGCCCAGAGAAATGGTCTTATTATTGGGCCCTCTGGCAGCTCTAAGAAAGCACCCAAGGAAACTCTATGGGAGGGACCACCACCAAAGATTCCTCTGGAACTAAAAATGAACAAAATGCCTTTCTAATTGTCGACTGCGGTAGATAAATTAGGAAATGCATGGTTTCTACCGAGACCCAAATATATGAGGAGACTGAGACTCAATATCTCCGAACATGGATGTTCAGAAAGAGAAAAGGAAACTGTTTGGATGGAGTCCAACATAAATACATTTGGAATAAAATTTCCAAGAGGATCTACAACTTCCTGGCTAGACTTATGAGAAATGACACATCTCTGCCTTTGTTAGTAAAAGAGTAGAGGGGAAATCTTACAAGGCAGAAGGAACAAGTTACCTGTAGAAGAAACAACAATCCGATGGGCCTTGAACTTCTCACCTGCAACAGGAGCTGGAAGACCGTGGAGTCACATTAGTTAGATATAAGGGCTGATGTCCAAGAATCCTGGGGGCCAAGATATCATTTACCTCCGGACAAAGGAGAGGACAGTGTAAAACTAAAAGGAAGATGGATCCATAACTGGGTGGCTCAGCTGGTTGGAGCATTATCCCACACACCAAAAGGTTGCAGGTTCAGTCAGGGCACATGCCTAGGTTGCGGGTTTGATCCCCGGTTGAGGCACATGCAGGAGGCAACAGATCAATGTTTTTCTCTCTCTCAAAATCAATCAAAACATATCTTTGGGTAAAGATTAAAACTAAATGTAAGGTGGATGAGAATCTATCTAGAAATGTATAATCAGTGCTAAGTAAGGGTGTTAGAATTAGCAGAGACACACTGAAAGAGAAATCCTGATACCAGGATTTCTAAGGATAAATTATTTTAGTAAAAATGAGAGTACAGAGTGGAGCGTGGAGCGAAAAGAAGGGAATAAGAATACTCAAAAGTGTCATCTTGTTGGGAGAAAAGAGGATATAGAGAATGTTTGAAATTAATAGCTGAGAACTGAATTCTGTTCAAAGCAGAGGTGATCAGGTTGGGCTTTAGAAAAAGAAGGAAAGAAAGAAAACTAACTCTAATGTGTTTACAAGAAACACACAAAACAAAATGATAAATTTAAAGGCCTAGAAATAGTGATGATAGGGGAGCTAAGAGATACGTACAAGTGGCAATATTAGTACCAGACAAGGTGGGACGTAAGGTTAAAGGTACTCACTCACCAGCATAAGGAGAGGCGTGACGACAAACAGCCCGTAGATATCCAACAGCATGACAGCTAAATAAGAGCATTTGAAAACACAAGGAGAATTTTATATAAAATACACTTATTATACCAAGGAGACAAATAGATGACATGGGAAAATTGAATAATATGAATAAGGAACTTGGTTTAATTAATATATAGGAAACCTTTCGTCTGGCAAATAGTTTTTTCACATGTTCACATATAAATAAGTGTATCAGTAATCATGAAGAAAACATTTACAAATTTTATAGATGTTATAGAATACATTATCTGATAATTAGAATTAATATGTGACCTAAATAAAATGTGACCTAATAAGGAAACACTCCTAGATCATTACTGGATCAAAGAGGAAATTAAAAGGGAAGTTATAAACTGTCTGAAAATGAGACCGTTTCACATCAAAACCTATGGGAGGCAGAGAAAGTGTCCACAGGAATATGTGTGTCTTAAAAGCCTGCAAAGCAAGTATTTGTGTTAAGATATTAGGAAAAGGACAAAATAACTGATAAGAATAGAAATTAATAGAAACAAAATAATTAAAGAACAAATAGAGAAACAGACATACAACACAAATAAAAACAGGAAAAAAAAATCCTTCTCACACCTGATAAAGGAAAAAGGCAAAATGAAGAATGAAAGAGGGCTATGATTATAGATACAGGAGAATGAAAATAATTGTAAAATAATACTACATTGCAGTTCTGGGGCAGCAAATTTTAAAACCTAGAAGAAATGAATGATTATTCATTTACAAAATGTAGGAGAAAAAACAAACTGACCTAAGAAAAGGAAAACTTAAACTAGAACAAATATCTGCCAGGGAGGTTTCTAAACAATTAAAGTTCTATCATAGAAAAATGTATAGCTGAGTTTTCTCAAATCTTCAAAATACAATTTTAGTATTATTTTAACTATCTCAGATCATGGGGCGAAATGTACAGCTCCTTTATTTGTTTTAAATAACCAGTATAATTGTAAAAACTGATTAGTTTATATTTTTATCCTATTTTTAATCTCACAAATACAAAAGCAAAATTCTAATCATGGTATTAGATGTATAGTCCAGCAATGCATGTAATTGCTGAAGTAGGAAACAAATTAAGTTCCCAGATGCAATGATGGTTTGCTCCCAGGAAATCAGTCAACGTTTTATATAACACAAACAAATTAAAACAGAAAAAAAAACTATGATATTTCCAATAAATGCTGAAAGGCATTTAATTAAATGCAGCAGTCTTAATAAAATACCTAAAAATAAGACTAGAAGGCATCTCCTTAAATATAATGAAGACTATTTCCCAGAAACAAAGAGCAAATTTTGCCTAAATGACAAAGCACTAAAAGCATTTTAATTAATTTCAATAATTAAGCCATGATGTCCTCCATCACCATAATTGGCAAGTCTAGGAAATGTGCACTATGACAAGAAAATGAAATAGATTGAATAAGCCTACCTTTATTGCTGTCGGCCGGGGTTAGGGAAATGAGCACTTCCAGAAAGATCAACGACACAGCCTTTGCGATGAGCAATTTGGAAATATGAACCAAAAGCTTCAAAACAGTGCTTTTTGATCCAGTAACTTGACTTCTCAGAACTTATCCGAAGGCCGTGATCATGGATATGGACAAAGATTTAGCTATGTGTTACTACATTGTATTATAGACTGATGAATTTCAAAGGCGGGGGAGGTAAGGGGGAGCGATTAACGGGGGAACTTATATGCATAGATGCTTAGCCCATGGACACAGCCAATAGTGTGGCAAAGGCTTAGGAGGGTGGCTTCGAGGAGGAGGGGATTATGGGGGCAGGGGGGGGGACGACAAAGCAGACATCTGCAATGCTTTCACCAATAAAGATAAATTTAAAAATAATAATATCCCAATGTTTCTAAATACCCAACACTAAGGAATTGGCTACACAAACTTTGCTGCGACTACAGGAAGATGCTTCTCTAAAGGAGGCCCTTCCCCAGCAGCCAGTGCTGGAACCTTTGGCATCTTCCTGACTCCTGCCCCGCACTCGCTTACCCGCTCACTCCCAGGCCCAGTTTTCAGCTGCCTCTCAGCCTGTTCCACAGGATACCTTGTCCCCTCCCCTTCCCCAAATGTCACTTTTCAGCTGACTTGTCCACCCTCTGAAGGAGATGCTCAGTCTTCCTTACCCCACGCTGACCAGCAAATGACCTCTGCTATCCAGCTACATGCACATGCCTCCTGTCCCAAGCTCTCAGAGCCAGCAAATGTGAGGGGTTCAACAATTACGTTGGAGTCCCCGATGCACCCAGCCACGTGCTGGTACACAAGCCAAGGAACTCAGGCTGGTTGGAGCAATGGCGCGGGCATGCCCACAGCAGCTCAATGGCCCGCTGCACTGTGCTTTGGTGAAGTAACCTCTGAACATAGGGTGTCAGAGTGGTGCAGCGTGAATGGCACGGGCCGCTGACAGCCTGTAATCTTCCATCTCTAATATAAGCTAAAACGACAGGCCTGCTATCAAGCAAGGATTGCATAGCTTCGTGGATTTTTCTGGCATTTTCCCCTCGACTCTCCAAGATCCCGTTTCCTAATGCTGAGACTTCCTTCATGCCCAGAGCTTTTCCTCACGGACTTGCCATGAAGTGTCGTTTGGCCTTTTTTTAATCACAGGAAAATGACCTAATGCAACCGTAGAGCTTTAGAGCTGCCCAAGGTTGAAATGACAGCTCTCGTCGTTCTAATCCGGCATTCTGCCTGCCGACCCCTGGGAAGCATGGTTCAGAAAAGAGTCAACCCTCAAACCTGCCTGAGGAGGCACCAGGTGCTGTTTGTTTCACCATAAAAATAAGAGCTAGAAGACAACTTCATTCGAAAAAGCAAACAGCATCCAGGGTTGAAAGCCATGGGAGTCACCAAGCCCCACCCGGCTCGTCGGCCTGGGGCTGCCGAGATCTGGATCCTTCGTTCTGCACACTCAGCCACCAGGTGCAGGTCGGGAGTACCTCACCTCCCTGTTCCGGGTCTGGCCTCTGCCTCCTGTGCTGCTCACAATCTCTGGGCTTGTTCTTGTGGGGCCCTCAAGCCAAGCTCCTCGCCTGGCGGCAGATCAGCCGCCTTTCAGGGCAATGGCCCTGGACTTGGAGGCTGATGAGCACGTGAAAAGGCAGAGGACACAGGCTGCCTGGCTCGGTGTCTCTGGCCTGCCAGGCCCGAGGCCTCAGTGGCTAATGGGCAGGTCGATGCCCGGCCTGCCCACAGGGAGCTCTGGCAGGACCTGCAGACCACTCTCCTCCTCTCTAGCCTCGGACATCACTTGACTGTTCGCACTGCCAACGTGCCCGTCCCTGAGCAGACAGCAGGGACACACGCCGGGGAGTGGCTCAGGTCACCCCCACGGGGAGAAGTGTAACCTCCAGGGAAACAGAGGCAGCCATGCTCAGTCTTCACCAATTTGTACCAAACACAAGGCCTGACTCCTTACTTCTCACAGCGAGTCCCTTTGTGAACCTGAACCTCTCCCTGTCGTTTCAATCACAAGGCCTCTTGGTGGCACGACCAGCACCCCTGAAGGGCACCTCTGCCAGGTCCCGCCTCGGTGAGCAGTATGCGACAGATTCCCAGCAAACCAGCCCAGACACCTGGCATCAACGGAAAATAAATAACCAGTCATCAGTTCCACAGTTTCACATTCTCGTCACTTAAAGCGCTCTCCTTTTTCCCAGGGCGGCCTAGGTGTTGAGAAGGTGGGCTTCCCTGCTGGTGGGGAAGCTGTATCTGAGCAGAGTGATGTTTCGGTCCGGGGGCCTCCCTCCAAAGCCCCAGCACAAGTCCAGCTCAGGCCCCGCGCTGCAGTCACCACAGCTGACAGCGTGCAGCAGGTCATGCCAGGCAGAGTGGGAGGGAACAACTCACTCCTGTCCCACCACTTCCTGTCCTGCCTGCGCCATTCCACTCTGCTCCCGCCCCTTCCCAAGACTGTGGCTTGTCCATCTCTCTCTAGCAGCCTGTCTGCTGGGGAGCATGCAGAGGTCCCCAGGTTTCCAGCCCCCCACTAGGCCGGGCCCTCACAAGGACTCCTGCTCTCTGTCATAGGTGATCACGGAAGCCAGCACCGGCCAGGGCCAGCACCTCATCCGCACACCCTTTGCGGGAGTGGACGACTTCTTCATTCCCCCAACAAACCTCATCATCAACCACATCAGGTGAGACCCGCCGGCGAGGCCCCGAGGGGGACACCTTCGCCCAGGGTGGGGCCTGCTCCTGTCTCTGTCTCCCCCACTGCCCTTGGGCCGGCTTCGAACCTCATCAAGAAGGAACAGAGAGCCCTAACTGGTTTGGCTCAGTGGATAGAGCGTGGGCCTGCGGACTGAGGGGTCCCAGGTTCGATTCTGGTCAAGGGCATGTACCTTGGTTGCGGGCACAGAGTGTACAGGAGGCAGCTGATCGATGTTTCTGTCTCATTGATGTTTCTAACTCTCTATCCCTCTCCCCTCCTCTCTGTAAAAAATCAATAAAATATATTTTTTTAAAAAAGAAGGAACAGAGAAATGGACCCATTCCTAGTCTCTAATTGTTAAAGTTCAGGAAGGTACCCAGCTCTTAATGTCCTTGGTGGCCTAGTGAGGTCAAGGAGTCACATCCTCAAGGTGAGGGCAACAGGGAGAAGGAGAAACAGCAGTGGTTAATGTAGCACCTCTCCTTGCTAGACACACAAAGCTAGTAGAAGTGGTCTCGAACCTATTTTACAGATGAGAAAACTGAGGTTCAGAGAGTTAGGACGCTGGCCAAGGTCACACAGCCAGGAATTGGCAGTTAGACTAAGTGCAAAGCCAGGTGTCCTTTGAGTGCCCCATCCCGCCTCATTCTCTGCTAACCACAGCCCATGGTTCCTCTCAGAGCCCCCAGGGCAGCCGTGCAGGGGGCCTACCAGGAAACAAGGCCCCCTAGGTGCCTGGTTGCCACCATCCTAAAGAAGAGCCTTATCATAACAGCCCTGGCCTCCAAGGCAAACCTCCTCCCCGCCTGGCCACTCCCCCTACTCATTTCAGAGCGCCCCTGACACTTGCTGTGAAGTCACCACTGCCAGGACTAAGCCTGCCCTTGATAAAGTCATGGAGACCCAGTTGTCACATGGCACTGTTTATGCCTGCCTTCGACCTGACACCACCTTTCTCCAGGAAGGAAAGACTCATTGTTGCAAGCTGATGCTAGACGTGTAAAAATACAACTCACCCATGTATGCTGGCCCAAGGAGGAAAATCACCACTTTCTGCCTCCTCCTCCCCCCACCCCCCAACCTCACACACCCCGCACTGCAGAGAGTGCCTGGGGAAGAGCCTCTAATATGGTTCTAAATGGGGGCGCCCCCTCAGAGCAGCTGAATTCAGCTGGGAGTCGTGCAAACGCAAGGACTCAGCAGCCCTGTTTAAAGTTCCTTAGAAGAGCGGGTTTTCCTCCTGCTCTGTCCATGCTCTGGCTCTTTAAGGATGCTTCATAGATGCTCTGAAGTGGGCCTGTCCCCACTCTGAGGCGCCGCTATTCCTATTCGAGAGGAAGTCGTGAAGCGATTTTCCTCTTTCCTGCGGGGTGATGGGTGTCAGAACGCCTCCAGAGCAAAGGGGAGGCCTGCCTGGAGCCACGCCTTTTACTATCGAGGCATTTCGGGGAGTCCAGATATGAGCTGCTACCACCCACTGAGCTCTTCCACCAAAGCTTCCTCTTAGATTTGATCCTCCCCTAAGCCCTCCAAGGACCGACCCTCTTTAGATACCCGGAGGCTCAGAGGGGAAAGCGAGGGCCCCCAGCAGCATCAGGCCTCTGACTCCAAAGGTGAAAAACGCCTCTCAGCCCCCTGCCCACCAGCATCATATACGTGGCCGGAGAAGGGCTGCCCTTCCTGTTCCCGGGAGAGGGAACACTCTTAGGAAACCTGGGCTTCGCTGAATCTGCGTCCTCCAATCCCGACTCACCAGTTAGCCCAGAACCCAGCGGGGACGCACGCTGTCCTTTCCCTGCAGGCAGAGGCCGCCCCTTCCCAGCTGGCACGAGGCCTCAGGGAGACGCAGTGGCAGGCACCTTTACCGTCCTGTGCCATTTCTAACCATGAGTGCATGCACGACAGCGTCTGACCCGGAACCTTGGTCACGCTCTTCCTGCTGGAGATCGCAGATGAGTCACTTAGGAAGCCGTCCCCTGCAGAATGGCAGACCTTCCCCCAGGGGCCGTCAGGTCCCTGAAGGCTTGTGATAGAGGGACAGAGAAAGGCTGCCATCCTGAGAGAGGAATGACAGATCCCCGGCCCCGAAAGGCCTCTGACCTCTGACCTCAGTTCTCCCCTCCCAGGTTCGGCTTCATCTTCAACAAGTCTGAGCCCGCAGTTCACAAGGTGGACCTGGAAACGCTGATGCTCCTCAAGACCATCGGGCTGCAGCGGCACGGCTGCCTGCCGCAGGCCATGGCCCACACCCACCTGGGCGGCTACTTCTTCGTGCAGTGCCGGCGGGACAGCGCCACGGCCGCTCCACAGCTGCTCATCGACAGTGTCACGGACGCCGTGGTCGGCCCCAACGGTGAGGTGACCGGCACCCCACACACGTCCCCCGACGGCCGCTTCGTGGTCAGCGCTGCTGCCGCCAGCCCCCAGCTGCACGTGCAGGAGGTCACGCTGCGGGGGGAGATCCGGACCCTCTACGACCTGAAGATCGGCCAGGGCATCTCCGACGTGGCGTTCCAGCGCTCCTTCGCCCACAGCAACCAGTACTACGTCTACGCCACGCTGGAGGCAGAGCCGGACCTGCTGTTCCTGGAGCTGGCCACGGGCCGGGCGGGCGTGCTCAAGAACTTCAAGGAGCCGCCCTCGGGGCCAGCCGGGCCCTGGGCAGGGCCCCGCAGGATCGTGAGGGACAGCGGGCTGTTCGGACAGTACCTCCTCACGCCAGCCCGGGAGTCACTGTTTCTCATCAACGGGCGACGAAACACGCTGCGGTGCGAGGTGTCGGGCGTAAAGCGGGGGACCACGGTGGTGTGGGTGGGCGAGGTATGAAGGCGGCCAGCGCAGAGCCCGGGCCCCCGGGCCCCACCTCGTCCTGACACCACAGCCCCGAGCTGGCGCCCTGTACATTTTTACAGACAAACGCAAAAACCTGTATTCGCTTCGTGGTTCGACACTGGTCTCCTTGCAAGTTTCCTCGTCTAAGGTTTGCGCTGCGCACCCGGCGGGGTGTTCTCGTCGGGAAGTGTGAGTACGCCTTGGGCTACGGCGAGAACCCACGCTGCCGTGTAAAGGAGGCATCTCCGTGCCCGGCTCCACGCCAGGTGACTGGGGACGCGCGGAACCAGCGCTCCTGCTTTCCAGGCGGGCATCTCCGTCGGTTGCCTTCACATAGTCATTCTCCTTCACCGCCAGACCCAGCCAGACTGCACCCTGCGCAGGGGCCTGAGACCAGGCCTGGACCCGGCCGCCGGGAGCGGGGCCTCCCTCCGCCGGAGAGCCACACCTGCCCTGGCTCTGCAACTTTTCCTCCTTCGCAGCTGCTTCCTGCTTTTCTTCCCATTTGACTTGTGGTGCGCCTGAGAGAGAGCCAGTAAGACTTATTGCCGCTTGGGGAGGTGGGGAAATCACTCACTTTATTTTGGAAATTTTGATTAAAAAATAATTTTTTATAATCTCAAATGCTAGTGAGCAGAAGGGCGCTCTCCGAGGTCCAGCTCTGTTCGTCCCCGCCTTGGGCCGAGTCTCTGAGAGTCACCACCCCACATCCCCCAGCCGGAAAGAACAGTGGTCCTCAAGGAGTAATGGCCTCTACAGCACTGACACCCCCAAGTGCAGATCGGCCACCACACTGGCAAAGGCTGCATTCTGGGCTGGGACCCCACGACACTAGGACAAACCCTGTGTGCCTGCTTTTCACCATGGAAGGGGGGCATTGTTCAGTTAGTTATTCCTCACTGGAGGATATTTTCCTATTGATTTTTAGAGAGAGTGGAAGGGAAGGGGAGAGAAAGAGAGAGAGAAACATTGATTGGTTACCTCCTGCACACGCCCCAACCAGGGCCAAGGATCAAGCCTGCCACCGAGGTACATGCCCTTGACCGGAATCGAACCTGGGACCCTTCAGTCTGTGAACCGACGCTCTATCCACTGAGCCAAATCGGCGAGGGCTGCTGGAAGGAGGACATTTTATTAGCCAGGCCCAGATTCAAGGCAGACTGGGCTTGCCTGGCAAGGTGTGGGCAGCCGGCAGGATAGCAGCCTCTGGACTCACTGCTGAAACCCCGAGGGCACAGTGGTGTCCAGGCAGGGTCCCTTGTAAAAACCAATTTCCTCTCTGCCTGTGGCCCTACGCTCAGCTCTGGTGCCCCTCTTCCCTGCATCATCGCAGCACAGTCAGTACAGGGAGGGCCCCAGTATTTCTTACACAGCCCCGTCTCCCCAGTAGCACACACTCCAAATCTCAGAATCGGAAGGATGCAGGCTGGTTATTATTCTACTGACCTATTCCCCCGTGTCCCAGGCTATGGTGGGCTCTCAGAAGTACAACCCAACAGCTGTGGGAAGACAGCCTGTGCTGAAGAATCTCAGCAAGAAGGAGGCTCCCCTGGGTATCAGAACACCGCTTTCCTTCCCACACCAGCAGCCAAAATATGCTGGCACACTCACTGGCTTGAATGGTCGCCTTTCTAACCACCTGGGTTGGGAGAGGTGGTCCCATCGCAGACACCTTAGCTAGCGTAGCCCCTTCACCTGCCAACATGGCCATGGTTTCCCTGAGCTGCTGAGGAACGGCCCTTTTCGGGGAAGGAAGGCAAGACCCTGCCTCACTCAATACACAGCCCTCTTCCCCTCCCGCCGACTGCCTAGCCCACCTGTGTCCCGCCCACCCCCGTTTCCTGAGATCAGCCTTCGTCTTGTGCGTCTCTTGTATCTTGGTCCACCAAACACCTGTTTCCTACAATTCTCAGGAGTGTGTCTAGACATGTACATCACATTTTAGATTTTTATTTAAAGGTACAATATGTAGCTATAGGTTGAGGGAAAGCATCATATTCAGTTTCACAATAACTGGGATGGATGGATCTCACCCTTTCCTTTTATTCTTGCCTCAATCTCTTGACACATTTACTTCCAAACTCCCACTCTAATCACGGAAATTCTCCAGCTTTCATGAACTTCACCCTTCGGAAAAATCTAAATTGTGGCAGCGCCTGGCAGCAAAAAGCCCCTGAGCCCACCTGAGGGAGCCGGCCGACAGCCGTGCTCAAACGCCGGCCCCTCTGGGTTGCAGGATTCCTAAGAAGAAGACGAAACTGATCCCAACTGGCCTTTTAAACTGGGGGCGACCCGCAGCATCTGCTCCTTTCCCGCGGTCCCTCCTCTCGCGGTCCTCACTGGGCAGCTCCCGTCTCGCTGCCCACGCGCCGGACACAGCTGAACTGGAGAGAGAAATCACTGGCCTGAAAACCGAAATCTGCAAATTCACCAAGGCTCGCAGGTAGATGTTTTCCAGCAGAGCTGCGTGGGTGGGAGGCAGGGAAAAGGCTGGCTCCTGGAACACAGTTTGAAACCAGCTGGGGTCAGAAGTCATCACAACAGGCGAGCCTGGAGGCAAACCCAGCCAGCACTCCTTCTGATGAACACAAAAGATCGACTAACTACTAACCGTTCACATTCAAGGAGTATTCATTTTACCAAAAGAATCACCAGAAAGGCCACTTATATAGTGAACTCACTACCCCAACATTCCTGGATTTTGAAATAAAATTTCACCGAAACCCAACATAGAGTGTTTTTTTCAGAACAAACACAAATAACTAACACCTGTGGTGACATTAAGGCTTTGAATTGGAGGCTCTCACTCTCCTGCCCTAGTGAGCCGACGTGGAGGTCCCAGGTCCCAAAGCCCACCCAGCTATCCGCAAACTGGTGGTAGGAAGCGGGAGCCTGTTTCTAGCCGATTGTGTGCACTTTCTGCACAAGGAGGCCTGGGCGTGGACCACGCCTGACTGCAAATGCCGGCCCCAGCAACCCCGACCCAGCCAGTCCGGCCTGGGGCTGGCCCAGGCTTTTAGGTCTCCAAGTCGTTCACAGGTCCTATTAGCCCAAGTCCCCGGAAGTAGCCAGAAGAGACCTGTAAACACTTGGCTGGGGCCAACCACTACTAGCAAGCTCCAAGCACTTTGACCGAAAGATAGCATCGCCAGACACAGAAGCTCAGTCCCTGCCATTCCCCCCTCCCGGCTCCAGGTAGGTGCCCTGGAGGACAGCTTTCACCCCAAATACAGCAGAGGCCCACCTGCTACGCTCGAGAATGGTAACGATGGGGACTTCGTGTGGGAAAGCAGCCTGGGGTCAGCTTTGTGCAGCCACAACTTCTTGTTTTCTGTTGACCAATACCCTGTGAACTAAAGGCAATTTCAGAACTGAGATGTGAAACAGATTCATTCTGGATATATTTTTCTACAAGGGGCTTAAAAAGTAATGGAGTGATTTCTCAGAATGTGTTTTATTCAGATACCGTGGACTCTGAACCATCCTCATCACCAAACCCCATAGCTCACTCTCTCTGATCCTCCTCTTCAGAAGCAGGCCTGCAGGAGAGCTGATCACGCCACCTCCCTCCTACACACCCGCCAATCTACCTCACACTTTCCTCCCTGCACCCAGCACCGCCAGGTGCTGCCCCCATGCCCGGAGGCCAGACAGGTGATGTGGATGACAACAGTGCTGACATGAAGTCCTTTGCCATCCTCCCCGACCCAGGACGCAGATCCCACTCCAAGTGCAGTCAGAACCCATGGCACACAGCCCCTTGCTGCCCAGAATCCCGCCCCCAAAACACTTGCTTGCAGCCCTTTGGAGTCAGGTGAGCAAGACTAGAGAGAACTCAGAACATCAGGAAAGTCAGCTACTATCAGACAGAAACTGTCGACGGGAATAGAGACCGTGACATCAGCGCCAGCCTCATCCCTGAGAGGGCCTACGCGACACCTCCCTCCATTCCAACTTCATTCTCTGCTTTTCCTGCTTCCTCCCTACGCCTTGAGCCTCCTGCTCCTTCCATTCAAAAGGCCACTGACCTCACCGCCACACCAGCCCCTTGCTTTGGGGTAGAAGTAAGCCGTCACTCACAGGGCCAGATGCTATTGTCTCTCTCCTCCCAGGCTGGCACGGAGGCTAAGCAGTTTTTCTAGAAAGTCACAAGCTGCCTTGGTTTCTCTGCAGAATCACAGAGATCACAGGACAGAGATGCTTTAACATTTTAAGGGGGAAATGCCTCCTCAAGGTGTGACTGCAAGACCCCAAATACCTGTCGGAATACAACCCACTTCCTGCTGTGGTCGCCAGCAGATGACCAGCCACGTGCCTGGGCCTGCAGTCTTCCGGCACCAGCATCTGGCAGTCAGCAGGAGCCCAGCAAGCATGGTCTCACACATCCTTTGGAGCTGTGAGCAGCGAGTGGGAATGTAACTGTACACGGTGTGTGAAATTATGGAAAATACAGGGAGAGTGGGAATTGGTCTCCAAAATTCACAACAAGGCTTCTTTAACCAGCGCCAGAATACTGAGCATGTTTTTGTGGGGGTTTTTGACTAAGCCACAATTCACACACCCCTCTTTTCAAGCTCATCTTAACTAATGTCAAACCATCCCTTCCCCCTGGGGCCCCAGAGAATGTGGGTCATGACCTAGAAGGCTCTAGAGGGCTTAGCCTGCACTCCACAAAGCAATAACCGTTGACTCGCCCCTACCCCACGCCAGGTGACACGTGCTGTCCTCATGTCCACATGTTATCATGGCAGGATCGGAGAACGCTGCCTTTTGGGGGACTCTTCAAGATCAGAGCTTCATTTCTAAGGAAGGGCCACCAGGATTGGCTGGGTACGGGGCCCAAGAGCTCTCACGTGAGAAAGTTCCCTAAATCTAAACCTTCATCCACTGCCCAGTATGACATCTACCTTAGATGTAAGAGCTGCTGGTCCCCTGCTCCTACAGCTGCTTCAGAGAGGTGAGGAACAACAGGTCTGCCAGTCACCACGCCAGAGCCAAGCACACCCTTTCATGGAGCCCCCACGGCCCACACCCCACTGCCCAGCCTCTGCCCCTTCCTGGCCTGGCCCCTTCGCACCCTGTCTTCCCCCTCCGCCCATGCTTCCTGAAGACCTGTGCGATGACCCAGAAGCAGAACTGGGCATGGAGTTTTGCTGGAGTGGTCACACACACTGCTTCCTGCTGTAGCGTAGCTGAATGCCCCTCAAAATACGAAGTCACACACACACCACTTGTCCCGTAGAGTCTCATCCATCCCACCTCAGAAAACTTTCAGATCTCTTAAGTCAAGGCAGATTGCATTATTTTGAGCTGTTGTGTAGACTCCAAAATATATTTTCTGTAATCACTGTATTTCTCAAAAGGCCTCCTGTAATTACTATACATGTGAATTTTTCCTTATTTATAAAATATATATAAATTATTTTTAATACATCAACTTTAGTAGAAATTTGTACCAACACTGTAACTGTATGTGGCATTTGAAATAAGTTGCGTTTACTTTGACGTATTACACAGTATTGAACACGCCGTGTATTTGCAGTACCACTTGATATAAAGATGATTCACAAGTTATCATCAAGGATTGTCATTGTAAATGCTCTTTTTTGAGGATTTTACAATAAAACTTGAGAAAGGTTAACTCTTTCTGGGGCCCGTCTGTTGGAGGTTGTTAGATGAGAACTGATTCGGAAGGACCTTGGGGTTCTTCTCCATCGCCTTTACAGGTGCGTGATGGTCAAAGTGAGACGGCCCCTACTCCGGCCTGGTCCAAAGAGCTTCTGGACAAAGGCAGGCACCTGAACCCAGAAGTCTTTTTTCTCCATGTTGAAGTTTTAGCATCAACCCACATCTGGTTCAAAACTTCTCATCACCTGCCTTGGCAGCCCCTTTAAATTTAAAGTCCCCAGACTCTAAGCTGTTCTTGACTCTAGTCCAGCGATGGCGAACCTATG